TTATAAAAAGGATTATATGATCTGAGCATGAGCAGAACTCCTGATTGCTCAGTTTAGAGAAAAATGTCTTATTTAACAAATTATAGATGCCTTTATATGTGCTGAGCACTGTTGTAAGCACTTCATAAATACTGACTACTTGCTCCCCACCAGATCTATGAAATAAGTATCATTATCCCCACTTTTAGAGATACTGGCCAAGGTCACACGGCTGGTAAGTGGTAAAGCCCAGATTCAAACCCAGGAGGCCTAGTCTGTCCTTGCTTTTAACCAGCACATATGATGACCCTCCACGCTGTGGTGTCTAAAAGGGGCTCCCCTGAACTGAGGGTTCTAGAGGAGAGGGGGGTGGGAGGATGGGTTAGCCTGGTGATGGGTATTAAAGAGGGCACGTTCTGCATGGAGCACTGGGTGTTATACGCAAACAATGAATCATGGATCACTACATCAAAAACTAATGATGTAATGTGTGGTGATTAACTGGATGGATGGATCACTACATCAAAAACTAATGATGTAATGTATGGTGATTAACATAATAATCAAAAATAAATAAAAGGGGCTTCCCTGGCCCTCGCCAACATACCTGGGGCCAGAGCCCTCCCTGACCCGATGCTTCAGTCATATCAAAACATGCGTGCTGCTTCCTCCCTCCATGATGTTCTCTGTACACTCTGTTCCAAGCCTGGACTGTCCCGCTGCCCACGTCCACGCCACCCGATTCCCTCCTTGGGCACATCCCCCAAGCCGGCTCTCCCACCACCCTTGTGACTCTTCCCCGAGCTTCCGCCTTCCCAAGCCGCAGGACAGCCTGCCAGGCAGGAACGGGGCCACACCCCTGTCTGCAGCTGCAGCACCCAGCATGGAAACTGGCACACAGTAGGTGCTCAAACATGCTTGCAGAAGGCAGTGGGGGGGGAGGACTGAGGAGCAAGTAGCAAAAGTTTGGAAGTGGAAACAGCTAATTAGGAGTAACCCAGACATGCCCTGTCTGTCTTACCTGTCTGCAGACAGAGCAGTGACCCTTCTGCGCTGACTGCAAACAGGTGCACCTGGCGTCACCATGACAACGGGGCCTGAGGAGGTGCGGGAGGGCTGGGGCCTCCCCTAGGGCTCTGGCACTCCTGCTCACTGTCTCTGAGCACTCAGCAGGCAGAAGCCACATGCACTCGGCATGCGAGGAGAATGAACCCCAGGTTCTCCTAAAAGAAAGTAGGGGCCAATCCCACTCAGGATGAGGCGGGCTGTCACTCACCAGACTGTGACAAGGACAGCCACTGTTCACATGCCCTGGACCCATGCAAGTCAAAAAAAAAAAAAAAAGGCGCTCAGCCCTCCCAATCTGCCAGGTCAGCAATAAGAAATTGGAGAAAACGGATTTGGCAGCATCCACAGGGTATTAAATATTCATCCTGACTACCCATCAGTAAAATCCCAGCAGAATACACCCACTGACAAGTCGGCTTTCTACACCGGAGACTCTCCTCTTGGAAGCTTGTTTATTGCTTTGTCAATCCGAATGTGCAATATTTAATAGCCAGACCAAGAGAGGGTCATAAACATTTGGAAAATGAGTGCTGACATTTCCCTTATTGCTTCTGTATTTAGGGATATGTAATTGGAGGGTGTGTTTTGGTGCTAAAGAAAATCAGAAGGAAGCAAAGTGATGCTTGGAAATTAAAAGAAAAAAGAATTGATTAAGAGCGAAGAATCGAGTATGTTGAACTGGCTTAAAGTCTTGCCTGAAGGCCCTTGGGGGTCACCCCCTGTGATCGATGGGAGTCAGGCTAAGCTAAATCAACAAAATGGGAGTGATGGCATTCCTTGAAGATTTCCTTGGGGACGTGCAGATGGAGCAGGAAGTAGGTAAAAAGAATGGTCAATAATAGATCCACAATCAATCGTGCCATCCAGCCAGAGATTTTAATGAATCAAACACCTGTGATGTGGTCAGGTCAGCAGGTGGCCCCGGCAAGGACTGGTCTGGGGCATAGATCACACAGAGCCCTTTGGGAGCAGGTGACATGAGCAGTGAAAGGCTGATACATGGACCAGCACGAGAGAGCCAACAGTCCCTGGGTTTCTCTATGATTCTGTTGGAATAAGAATATTTGACAAAATATTCTTAAAAGGGGGTGGGGGCAGGTGGTGGGGGACGCTCCTAGGGAAAACACCAGAGCAGGGATAAGAAGCCCTGTTTTGAGGGGCAAGGAATGGAGGGAGAGCAGAAAGAAGAGAAGCCAGCACTGGTTCTGAGCTCTAGTATCCCCAAATCTTAGGAGCCATCTTGTGGCAGAAGTATGAAGAAACGGGAGTTAGAGGAGGCATAAATTAAACTCCTACACCATTAGCAGACCGGAACCTCTACGGGTACCTCGTGACCCCAACTTGAAAAAAACAAATTTAAGTATTTGCTAATGGGTGTCAGGAAATCAAGGATGGCAAACCAGAGAGAAGAGAGGTCAAATAAAAGTACCTGGTACCAAAGAGGATTCCTGAGAAGAAAAAAAAAAAAAATTAAAAAATATATATATATATTCGTCTCGAAAATATGCAATATAATAAAATTAAGAGCTTGGGTTCTGGAGCCAGACTACCTATCTGGATTTAAATCTTGCTTCTGCCTCTTATTATTATGGATCATTAGATAATTTATTTAAGGTCTGTGTCAGTGTTCTCGTCTATAAAATGGGCAAAAGCTGGTATTATAAGAACCAAGTAAGCTATTGCGTATAAAGCATTCAGGATGGTGACGGACACACAAGAAATGCTCCATAAAGATTAGCTGCCGTGTCGTTGTTACTGTTCTTACTCCTACAACCACCCATGCCGAGACTCCGCCATGCCAGCAAGCTCCAAAGAGAAACTTCTTCCATTAATAAGGCTGTTAACTGAATGCAGAAAGCATAATCTCCAACTATATGGCCTTAAAGAAAGTCAAAGTCCCCCTTTCGTCATCCAACCCCACTGCTTTTTAACAAGGCACACGTGGGTTCAAATCCCAACCCTCACCCCCCACCCGCCACTTACTTGACTGGGGCAAGTCAGAACTTCTCTGAGCCTCAGTTACTTCATTGATAAAGTGGGACAGCAAGAGCCTCCTCCCAGGTTAGTGGGTGAAGACAACATGAGATCACAGACGCCGAGTGTCTGACACAGTCTACTTCCCCCCTATGAAGGCGCAGCACCAACCGGGAGTGTGTGGGGGAAAAAAGGAAAAACGAACATGAAGCTCTTTGGGAAAGACGAAGGGCTAAGTGCATAAATGTTTAACAGAGGAGAGATGGTAACATTAAGAGGGATGCACTCTCCCTGGCGCGTCAGCCACTCCCCGGGCGGTGGCGTGCGGCCCCGGCCCCAGCACCCACCCGGGCTCCCTGCAGCCTCCAGAGGGCCTCTGGAGTGCATTCCTGCTCACCTCTGAGCACTGGCCACGTGACCAACAGCCCCTCCCAAGGCTCCCGCACCAGTGCAGCTCCTTCTCTCTCAACAGTGAAAGCACAAACCAATTCAGCACAAGCCACAAAGACCCGAGACGGTCCTCAGAGCAGATCCTCACCCCCTAGCTCTCCAGCTACATTTTCCACCCAGGAGGAATGAGATGGTGTGATGGAAAATGGAGAGAACTCTGCAAGTCGAGGAGACCATGGCCCACCAGCAGCTGCAATCTCGGTTTTCCACTTGACAAGCTGGTTTGCCGCCATCGTGCCTCCTAAGCAACGGGAGCCTGGGTTTCTTCGCAGAGAAACCACACGGGGATACAAACATCTACCTTGTTTCACTGCTGGATGAATTTTTAAGAAAAACATAGGTGCTAGTAAGCACAAAGCCCAGCACCGGAGAGGTACTTAACACATTTATATCCCTTATTCTCTTTAGTAACCCCACAAATCAATCAGAATCCAAGTAACTTGAACTTCGATGAGCTAATTCCTAAGCCTTCCCTTATGTGCTCCAGCCTTAGATTCCAGATAGGGATGGAAACAAGCAAGTATGAGGAACTGATTCAAAAAGGCAATGTCAGGCAAGGTCCTGGGGTCAGTGCTAAGCCTACCTTCTACAGCTGCAGAACCATGTGACAGGCACCGTGGCTCACAACCCGGCCCTGAGGGCCAGAGGAGACCACAAAATGTGCAATTACAATCAGACCGTCCTAGTCAGCGAGGCAGGCGAGTGTGTCCCTCGGCATTTCCACAACAAGAGGTCACACAAAATGGGGTCTCTGCTTAACCCTCCATTAACCCAAAAATCCACTTAAGCAGCACAGCGTCTTCCCTGAGCTTGTTGTTGCCCAGGCTTAGGCTGTAATTGACCAAGGAACCCCTTCCCATCATTTATACAACTTGCTTGTCCCAAACTCTGGTGCAGAACAGGGCTTTTATGGGGTTAGAAGAGGCCAAGGATAAAAGTTCAGACGACACCACTGTGACCATATGACGTGGTGGAGCAGACCAGGTTGGACACGAACCACAGCTGTGAGTGGGCAGAAAAATCCTCTTTGCCAGGTGTTCGAACCATCTTTGCAAAGTGGGCAGGTCACAAAGTCAGAAAAACGTCTTTGTGGAGTCACTTCCCATCCCCACCTCCCTTCACCGAGTGGGTGCCTGTGCTCTCTCGTTTGGGGGTCTGGCAGCGGCGGCAGCTAAACAGCACCTGCAGCCTGGGCTCCACCTTCCACCAGCTTCCAACCAAGCAGGAGGGGGGACAGACACCAGGGACACCATAAAAGCACGTATACTTAGAAAAGGGTCCAATGAAGGAGCGGTTGCAAAGTGTCCTGCTCCTCTCTTCCCCCCACAGGAAAGGGCATGGGAGAAAGGCACACAAGGGTTCAAACCCTCCCTCAACCCTTTACCAGCTAGGCGACCCTGGGCTAGTCATGGAATCTTTCCTGGGCTTGTTGTGAAATTATCATAAAACCAGGGACCCTAAGCACCTGCCACAAGGGAGATACTCAGTAAGTGCCTCCCTCCCATGTTCCTTCTCACGTTCAACATTCTTTATCGGCCAACAGGGGACAATGGTCCCTCCTCCACGCCTACTGTCACAAGGATTACAGGAGATGAGTCTAAAAAGACATGACGATTAAAAGTGGTTTGTAATCCCTGATTGGATCCTGGTTCGGAAGAAGAAAAAAAAAAGAAGAAGAAGAAGAAAAACTATAAAGGACATTATAGGGACAATGGGGGAAATGCTGGTAACGTCCCGCAAGGGTGGTGAGTTCCCCGGGCCCGACAGCGGTGTCCTGGTTGGACAGGAGAGGGTCCTTGTTCTTAGGAGGCACCCGCTGAAGGACCGAGAAGCAGGAGACCCAACCACTGCCACTGATCCTCGAATGGTTCAAAAACAACGACACCAACCAACCAGAGGGAGAAAACAAATGCAGTAGTCAGCCACTGACCAGCCAGGCCAGCGAATGGCAATCCTGCAGCCACCTCCAGATTTGAAATTTCTCCAGGCGGAGAAAGCAGGCCGGCCGAGCGCTCGATGTGCGCCCCCTCCGTCCCTGCGTGCCTGGCACCCGGGGCACGCGCCCATGACCCAGCACCCCCCGCCCCGCCCCCGCGCCCAGCCCCTGACCTGGCTGCAGCACCCTGATCTCCAGCAGGTTGGAGGTCCGCTCGGCCAGCCGCGTCCAGGTGTTGTTGTAATTCCTCCGCCACAGCTCGGCCACGCACTGGTACTTGCCCGCCTCCGTGTCACTGGCTCGGCTGATGCTCAGGCGCACGTTGTTGCTCGACTCGGCCTTCTCGATGGCCGTTCGGGTTCGGAAGCTGGAGGACCTGTCCCCCCACTGGATCCCTCCGTCCCGGGTGAAGGTCACCAGGTCATGGAACTCGAGGGTGCCTACCGGCTGGAACCGCCACGTCACCGACACGGGGACTCTGGCCGGGTAATGGGGTTTGATGATGCACTGCAGGTCAAAGGAGTCGCTGTAGGTCACACCCGGCGTGCGGGAGATGGCTGTGACCGCAAAGCCTGTTTCTGGAGGGAGAGCAGAGAGACTCCAGCTAGGGAAGACACCTGGCTTTCTCAGGGCAGCGTGCCGCAGTGATGGGGGCTACTGGCAAAGCTAGCGGAGCAGAGCCAAGGCTCTGGGTCTCTCTTGATGCCCAGGCCAGGGTTACTTTAGCTCTCATATGGAAGCACGAGCCCAAAGACAGAGGCCAGACGCAATTCTCCTTGAGCAGCACTAAGCAAATCCTTCCCAGTGACACCTTCATGTCCATCTGCCTCCCAACAGCCCCCTCCCAGGGAGTGAGGTTTATAGGCAGAGCCATTCCCAGAAGTCTTGGGATCCTATGCTTAAATAGGAGAAAAAAGCCCCCAAGCCAACTTCATTCATTGCCTGCAAGGTGGACACAGCCCCCAGCCCCGATGCCTCCTCTGTCTGGTCCGCAGCGCATTGGGGCTGGAGAAGGGGGAGGCGGATGGGAGGACGTGTCCCATGTTCCCAGTGGAGGCTTGCTCACCCATCCTTTTTCCACTTTCCTTGTGAAACCCAGGGGAGATGGGCAGTGAGGAAGCCACAGCAGGTGGCCTGACCTTGAGCAGGTGGGGACCTGGGGTGAGGTGGGCTTCTGCCGTCACAGTACTCCTTACGGACAGGCAGCTGACCAATCCCTGATACCAACTCCTCAGCGGGGGTTACCTGAGTTCCTTCACCTTGAAACACTACTTAATATTAATACATTGGTTCTGCTCATAAAACTGGGACTTACTGAGCGCCATGTGCCAGGCATGGTGCCAACGGCCGTGCTCATGCCACACTTCACCTAGTCCTCAAAATGACCTTGTAGGACAAGAAGGAGCACCATCCGTTTCTTAGGGACGAGGCAGAGGCACGGAGAGGTTATATAAATTGCCCACGGTCAAGCTGCTTGTCGATGGCAGTCAGGGCTCTCATCAGGTGGCGTTACCCACGGGAAGTGGTTAAAGGCAGAGACCCTTGAGCCTGATGCCCGACTGTGACACTTTCTAGCTGTGTGACAGTGAGCAAGTTACTTCACTTCTCTCTGCCTCTATTTCCCCATCCGTAAAATGGGTCCTTGTGGGGATGAAATGAGTTAATATTTGCAGCATACTTGGCATGGAATAGTACCCGGCCCGTGCCATGTTTTGTTAAATACGTCGTTAGCTGAAGAAACAAAATACACATAAAGGAAAGTACTTTAAATTCTGTGGGTAAAAGACCAGGCACAGAATGAATCTTTTGGCTTTGTGTAGGGAGGTTAAGTCAGCAAATAGGTCGGCATAATTTGCTGAAAACTCTGGATCCTTAATTTGGATTTCATAAGCTATCTTTATGTATCCTTAAAATAAAAAAAGTTAAGACCCAGAGACCCATCCTTAAGCCTGAAGTGGTTGTGATGGTCACTTGGACCCCTGCATGCAGTATACGTTGCCCTGAGGGTGGTGGAACATAGGACCTCGGGGAGAGGACACGCACCAAGGGTTCCTGGCCTCAACACCCGAAGGGGAGAGAGCTTCTCCAGGCAAGGGACTCTGTCCAGACTTGACAGAGCACACGCCATGATCATGGTGCACGGAGCAGCCGGCTTACTCTAACTGAATGATCACGATGGTCCAGGGGTAGATGGAGGAGGTACCCACCTGTTATCGCCCCGGGGTGCCTGCTGAGAGCGAGCCATATGTTAACTGCACCAATATGAAAACTCGTGTGGGTCACAGGCAACCTGAACCCACGGTGCCCTCCACTCTCCATGCCATATCCCCTTGGGCTGCCCTGATTATGGCTTTGGCCAGAGGCGCCCCAGGGGTAGAGAACAGGGAAGCAGAACCAAGCCCCAGAATCCCCGGTCAGAGCCCCTGGTGACCCTGACTGTGGGAACCACAGACACATGGTGAGGAGGAAAAATCTCAGGGGATTAGCGGATTCTGTGAGGTGACCTCTAGAGAAGCGCTCCTGATGAATGCTAACCACTCCTTGGACGTCCTTAACCTCACAGTATGCGAAGAATGCCCGTGACCGGACAGCCAGAGGCTTCCCCACAGGTGCCATCCCCAGGTCCACACTGGTGCTGACTGAGCCGGGCGGCAAACTCAACCAGTGGACGAAGCTTCCACAGACAGAAATCTGAGCAATACGATGACTGCAAGAAGCAGGACCAATCCTGGGGATTAAGCTTTTAGAAAAAAGATGTGTAATTCTAATCTTGGGCGGGGAGGATAGAGTACTTACTCTGTTGAGAGCAAAAGCAGCTGGGGCTGCCATCTTTACGGGGCTGTGTCTAAAAGCACCACCAGCTCTACCTGTGAGGAGAGTGGGCAACACGGTCCCAGGGAGTGGGACACAAAGCCACTGAGGACAACTGATGTCACAGCTGTCCTGATAAACAGGAAGACCTAACAAGAAAACAGGCAGCAGACTGGTCTTTTACAATTTAATATACTGATTATATTAGGCAGATAAACATTGATAGAAGCCTCCTTAACTGCCCCGTGAGAAGCAAATCTAATTCTGTGGTTTTAGCAAAATCTCAAGGTATCTTAATTTCATCCTAATGAGGAAGTGGCTTTCCTAAGGACGTGACTTACGGAGGACGAGACAAAAGCACAGACTTTGAAAAAAAAATTTGAGGGCGCCTGGGTGGCTCAGTCGTTAAGCGTCTGCCTTCGGCTCAGGTCATGATCCCAGGGTCCTGGGATCGAGTCCCACATCGGGC